GAAAGGGGATCAGCCCTGGTCTGCAAATTTGCTAATCGGCGGACGTGTTGGGTGGGCGGAACCGGATGTGTATATTCCAAAAGCACTCTCATCCCACATTCCCCCTCCCTTTACCGCTCACTCCTACCACCAGCCGCTTTCAATAATACAGGTAAACAAACTGACCGTTGTCAACATTTGCAAAAAAAAATTTCTTGTATACTAAAAAGCCTGCTTAGTACATAACTATCACTTCGTTCTAGGTCATTGGACGAGGACTTTAATTCAAGTCATCAACAACGCCAAATCAAAAGAAATCAAAAGAAATACCGGGGTGTTACACATTTTAACACATTTTGATAGTTTTAAGTTAGGGGGCATTCTCTGATTCCTTATTTCTTGTGACGGAAAAATAGATGTATAGTGTTTTTCATCAAACTAAAAATGTAGTTAGTTTGGGTCGTTGGAATCATGGCGCAGACCAGTGAGGCAGACGTTGGAGTACAAGAGTGGAAGAGAAAAGGAGAGAGAGAGAGAGAGAGAGAGAGAGGAGGGGGGAGGGGAAGGGCAGGAGAGCATCCTGCCTGGCAGCGCTAGGAGGCACAAGCGACGCGTTTCTCCCGGGCGTCGCGAATTCTGGTCGGAGAAGGGCGGTGGGGGATGGGAGGGATGTGTACTTAGCGAGGGAGCGACCTCTAACGAGGAAGTACACATGCGCGGGCCCTCATCAGAGCAGGGAGAAAGTGAGAGAGAAAGTAGGGGGAAAGAGGGGGGGGGGAGGGATAGAAAGAGCGGCAGACAGGGAGAGGAAGAGAAGAGAAGAAGGGAAGTAAAACCAAAAAACAGAAGTAAAGTTTAAGAACAGTGGGTGAAGAACTCCTGATAATTTTTAATTAGCACCTAGTTTCTTGTCAAGTAAAGCAAAATTTAGTTTCTTCGTGCACCTCAGTTTTTCCACTAGTGGCATACCCCTTTTCCTTTTTTTTTGTCCTAACATGTTATGTATCGTATTTATAACAATGAATTGAAACGCCGCCACACACACACACACACACACACTACTTACTGCCCACACACTCAAGCCGCGTGACAGGAGCACGACGGTTAATTTTTGACAGAGTGAACTGCGCGGCCGGGGCGCCGTGCTTTTTGCGGGCGGATGTGACGGGCGGGAAAATTAAAATGGCGGCCACATTAAAAGTCACGTGACAGCAGAAATATTGCGCGCGTGGCCCGCCGGGGGACGTTATCTAATCAAGCGAGTACAATGTTGTAGTGTTTAGCCACACTTTCAAAAATGGGGCATTTTTTTTTTAGAAAAAAAGGCCCACGACTGTCAGCGCTGTAAGAACAATAATTAAAAAGGTATACAATTTTGTTTGTAAGTCGCAAGAGTTATAAAAGAAGTAAAATGAACATT